ATCGCGGATCACGGACAAACTGTCCATGTTTTTTGTTACAGTTAAAGCCTATGCTAGAAGGATGTAATCCATCCAAAGCTGACCTTGCCCGTTGCCTGTATATCCTACTTAATATATGTAAAAGTTTGTATGTTTGTTATAAATCCCGATGTGAAATCACGGATCATCGCGGATCACGGTGCGAATCACTGACAAACTGTCCATGTTTTTTGTTACAGTTAAAGCCTATGCTAGAAGGATGTAATCAATCCATCCAAAGCTGACCTTGCCCGTTGCCATCCATCTAGACGAAGGATGTTATCCAAATTTTGATTTGACCTTCAATGTCCAACCGTTTGGCCGGCGGATTACATCCAAGCAAAGACATTTGCGCTGTGGCAGTCAGCGGTTGCGCACGTATTCTTAGGAAGTTATAAATATCCTTAAGTCCCTTTCCTCCAAGTGTTGCCATATCTTGTAATCTAACGGACTCAAATCTGGACTGGAGGAGGGCCATTCTTCGTGCCGGATGAAGTCGATTTCACGCGCCGCCAGCCAGTCTTGTGTGCTCTTCGCTCTATGAGCTGGCGCCGAATCTTGTTGGAATACCCAGTGCCTGTTATTGAACATGGTATGAGAAACAGGTTCCACAAGGTTCGTCAGAACTGTATTTTGATACGCAACTGCATTCGTTTTTACACCTTTCTCACAAAAATGTACCTCTGTTAAGCCCCAATAAGAAACTCCCAACCATACCATGAGCGAGGATGGAAAACCTCGTTGGACACGCGGAATACGGTTGCTCGCTTCTTCACTACTGTGTGCGTACACCTTATCATTTTGTTTGTTGTAGCTCTCTTCTACGGTAGAAATTTTTTCATCCGAAAAAAGAATTTCCCGGTATTTTTTTACCGCGTACCGCTTCAACAAAGCGCGGCATCTCTTCAGTCTCAGGTCCATTAGACAAGCATTCAAACGATGTCCTGTTTTTCTTCGATATGCCCCGAAGCCCGAAGTCTTCATTTAACACCCTTTTCACCGTGGTTCTGCTTAACCCCATCTGAAGGGCCAACAGTTTCTGCTTACGTTTTGGATTGAATTGGCGCCTTCACAGCTTTTATCACTGCTGGAGTCCTAATAGACCCAGGGCGACCACTTCTTGACCTGTCATCTACACTAGAGTCTTCATTGTATCGTTTGATGGTACAATCAAAGAACCTTTTGGTTATATTCAAATTCAGTATGTCAAAAATATGAATTGGCTCGTAACCGCAACGATGCAACGCAATAACTCAACATGGTCTTCTTTAAGCGTCCACCTCCATATGTAAAAATGAGTAAAATTTTAAAAACTATACATTTTTATTTTGATTTTCAAATTCGAATTCAATAAACTTTTCTGGCCAGCATTCTAAAAGAAAAGTTTTTACTGTGTGACAATACAGTGTTTGTTTAAGCGATTTAAATTAAGTAGGTAGAATGCCAGGCGGTTCTGGCTATCTCAAGTCCTTGCCAGGCGAAGAGAAAGATGCTGCGGCAGTGCGAGTAAGAGTCGTAGTATGAAAACTTACGTAACTTAAAACTGCTCATAATTTGAAATTAATTACCGATAATTAATATATATTTAGTAGTGTGCATGTTTCTGTGAGGTCACCGATTTGAAAAAATGCAACTCTATACTTAGCTGAAAATAAAGAATATGTAAGTTCATAAAAATATACCCGCCAATGATGCTGGTACATTGAATGAAGTCGATGTTTTGTTCTGGCAATATTTTTTCATTACAGCAAGAAAGTTTTTGTAACACTTCACATGATAACCTGCATTATCATGAACTTCCTCTGGCAAAGAAATGTCATCAAATTTTAAATTATGTTGTCTTCTAAATTTTAATACTGATTTGCTTTTGTCTAAAGTACTTGTTGTAAATTTTACAGTTTTGGCATCAATATCTTGTTTGCAAATCACTCAAACAACGTGTGCAGATCCATTTTACTCACTATTTATAAATGAATAATCGTTGGCACAACTGACGTACACAAGAATAACTGCACAATTAATATTAATATTTAATTGAAATTTAAATCATTACAATACTTCACAATATAAAACAGTGAAATTCTGCGTAAGATTTTACATAGATAAATCGTTGTTACCTCCGGCGGTTTTTTTTTTCAGGTATAGGACCTATTTTCCAGTAAAATAAACTGTCTCAATCACACCACCGAGTTCACGTTGAGCCGCTTACTCACACTTCCAAAGAATCTTTCCCCTCACGAGGCAAATACTTATTCAGACACTTATGCTAGCCAGAACCGCCTGTCATTCTACCTACTTACTTTAAATCGCAAATAAAATTATAATAAAACTCTACCTAGTTAGACTAAATGCAAATAATATGACACTACAGACAGACCAATTATGTACCGGTATCAAATGAAAGGAGTTTCCAAGAATATTAGGTTTTTGAAGTCCTCGATTATATCCAGCGATAACTAAAAAGTAAAAAATAAATTAAAATTAAAAAACTTTTTATAAACACACTATTATTTACATGCGCTTAAAAGAATAAATTCCTGAGAATGAGTAAGTGACGCTGAAGAACACATTAAAGGTAATACACATTTCATAAAAATATATGAAATTCTATATAATTGAGCGCAAGGTCAGAGATGTAATGTTATTCTTAATGTATTAAAACTGTTTCTTTTTAGATGATGAAATCAGGAACTAAGAATCCTATTATGATGATGATGAAGATTTATTAATTACTTTAGACTTATAATAATAAAAAATATTTTACCCATAACTTTTATTTTCACATCATTTAATTTGCATGAATAATATACCGTAAGTTTTCATACTACGACTCTTACTCGCACTGCCGCAGCATTTTTCTCCTCGCCTGGCAAGGACTTGTGCTAGCCAGAACCGCCTGGCATTCTACCTACTTACTTTAAATCGCTTAAACAAACACATATATAAATTGCAACTTTACAAAATAAAGTTTATTTTTATGTATATATTACACACCTTCCGGTTCGTCTGGCCGGTACTTGTGCTCATCGTAAACGTCTGGCAATTTCTTTAAAACTTAAAAATGAATAAACTACATTGTATAAAAATTTCAAGCTTACAGCAACAAGTTTTTATTTCATATTTTTTTGACACTTTTAAAAATATACGGCTTAGTGACGTGCAGGGCTGAGGAGTGCCAGACGATGCTTACCGTACTAAGCATATTATGGCTCATCACCATAAGAATTTCTAGCCTTACAGACAGACCGTTACTCGGAGGGTTCAGTAGCTCTCCTACTACAAGCTGACCGCATCATATCTCAGTTCAGTCTACACCACACCATACATACACCTATGAAGCATTGCACTATATGTTTTTGATTCGAGTGTGAACCCAAAAAAGCGTAGATACATAATAATCTTCGATTAGCTCGTTTGTTATTTAAAGGAGATTGCTCAGCTTCCATACATGTTTGGCCTAAAGACCAATAATCATGAAAAATTGTTTCCTAGATTCGAAATTATATATAAATTACTGTAGAAACGAATATAATTGACGGACACCCCTGAGAACCTCTATAAACCATATTACACTGAACATGAGGAGTTATTCTCCCTTATCCCTCCATCACCTTTTCTTCAGAGGACCACGCGCGCTGGCCTACGTTGCCACCGACATACTGTGGCCACTATTCCTACACGAACAAAGAAATTTGGTGACTCATTTCTTTGTCGTACTATTCGTAAGTGGAATTCTTTACCCGCGCAAGTGTTCCCTCCTTCCTATAATCTGGGGTCCTTTAAGAGAGGCGTGAAGAAGCATTTTTGCAGGCCGGCAAGGTGAGGATGATTGGTGTAGCAGTTTATAACTGCTGTACCAGCTATCTTCGCGTTTGGGACTTTATTACCACTTAACATCAGGTGGGGTAGAGTCATTTGCCTACCTTAATATAAAAAAAAAAACATATTAAAATAATAAAAAACAAATAAGTTATATATTAAACTAGGGAAATCAAGCCAAGTACCGAAATTATGGATTAGATTCAGCTATATAGAGCATGTAGATTAACAGATAGTTGCCTGTTTTTAAAGTTAATGTATAAGAGTAACTTTTAAAATCAGGTGTCATTTCCGGTTATAATAAGATACTCTGTGACAGAAACTGTGTGATGATTGTGAATGAGCCACAGATTAGAGAGAATTTTTAAACTCTAGTTAACCATAGCTAAGAGATTTAGGATCTATAGCCGTATATTCAGTAGCTTCATTAATAATTTTTGTTATGTTTTTAAGATAACCATATTTTAGATTTTTAGTGTATAACACCTTATAATTTTATTTATTAATTTATTTATAGTCAGGGAACGTAGGCCCATAGACAGATACCTTAAAGTGTAACATATGTACAGATTATAATGTGTTTATAGAGCTGTTTTGCGAAAAATGTATGGCAATAGACTTTATGATGTCGCCTACCATAATAATTGTCTGAGCACATTTGCATCTAGTGAAAATGATAATATAGTGGTGGATATTTATACCACAGTGTAATAAAAAAATGATTTATTTTATCGATCTTTACAAAATACATTTGTTTTAATGTTATATAAACAACTTCGATCAGTCTTTGGCTGAATGTTACTACACCCATAGCCATTAAAAATGATTCGTATATTTTCCAAATCGGTAATATTAAAAGTCCTTTTTAAAGTAAATATATTATACAAATGTGTCCGTTGAAATCTAATGACTGTAAATTAAATTATAAATTACGCCAAGAATTACCGTGTATGTCAATATTTTTTGTGCATTCAGGCCAATTTGAACAATCTCCTTTGTCTTCCAGTGTGGCCTACGTACGACGCACCTTTTCCCGTTAATCAGTATCCAGAGCTTGTACTCTAATAAATTTTGTCCTAATAAGTTTGTAATATTAAAAATCAAGTTTTCGAAATTTAATATTATTAACGACAAGTAAATAATAACATGAATTGCACACTTACTTTATAGTTTCTACTATCTCCAGGGCCCCATCGTGCTTGTCCTGCAACAATAAAAATAAAAAAAGTTGAAAAACGCTTAATAATCAACTAAGCGGTCAAAGTTGCAAACGGGACTCAAACCCGCACCAATATACCGCACCGAAATATTTCTTGGGTGGGTGCGGGTTTTCTTCTTTCTAATGTTTAATACTTGTTAAGGTAATCATTTGACATTGTGGGTTACCTACAATGCGAAGAGATGGCGCTGCTTTGCAGCCAAAGAATGACTTGATAAAATTCGACACAGCCATTAAGGCTATGGTAGCATAATGGTCAGTACATTCGCCCGGATAGCGAAGGGTGAGGGTTCGAGTCCCGTCTGCTGCCTGTAATCTGCTCGCTGGCTCAGCTAGTAATTTTATAAAATTACAATATATACCTACCTACCATATCGATAATACCGATAATATCGAGACCAAAATATCGATATTTATATCGATATTTAAAATTCACTGATATCGATATTATCCAAAATATCGATATTTCGTAGACTAAATTTGAACACAATAATATCAATCAATTTACCTGCTATGACTATCTAAATTGAATAATATCGGAATAACTATTGCTTTGAGATCGCAAGACCTTATCTAAAAATCTTGAACCCCAAGAAATATACTAAACTGGTGTGGATTCTGGCATGATTCTCTAAACCTAAAATTAAATTGACAACAGTGTATCCTTGTCATTCTCTATACAGAATGAAAAGGAGAGACTGATGTTAAATTTAGTTTTAAGTTTAGTTATCATGCCAGAATCGACACCAACGTATACAGGTATAATCGTATATCTAATGGTAACTCATGCACTTAAATAAAATCCTTGCCTCTCTTTATAGATAATTGTCAACTACTGATTAATTGAAATTTAATATCATTGTAATATAACACAAAATAAAATTAAGAATCTTATACAAATCGTAATTTTTTTAAGCTCGCTAAGTCAAGAAAGTAAGATAGGTATAGTAATTTTGGAAGCTTTGGGTTTACCCTATTCTGAAGCCATGGGCACGCTCCTGATGTGTGGGAGACTAAGCAATTTGCGTATTTGATGTGCGCTAAAAAACCGGCATAGCTTGGAAAAGCACGAATGTAGTGAAAACTTAGCGAAGGCATTCGCAAATGTCGTCCCACATATGCGGGTTGGCGCTCTCGTGCTAATGTGAGTGATCTGATCAGGATAATAATTATATTTTTTTGGTTTCCTGTCGTGGCTGAAACACAAACCGTGCGAGCCAATAAAAAAATCCTGCTTGCCGCGATTTCATCAAGCGTGTTTAACGAAAAAGCTGGCTCAATGCTTTTTCCGAGAAACTCGCCAACAAACATATGAATGTATCACACTCACCCCGTATTCTAATGTCAATAAAATATAAAAAGGAAAAAATATGGATATATCGATAATATCGCGTTAAAATGGTCGATATATCGGATATTGATATTTTTCTGACTTCGATATAAATATCGATATTTCAAAAGACTTTGCATCCCTAATTATGCATGACTGGGCTGCAGATGCAAAGACGGTTATAAACGATAACCATGTGGTTAAAAATGAATTTTTCGTTATGAACGGTTATTATACAGCATTTTATGCATGTAAACGCTTGTTACGGTTAACAAGCACCGCTAGATGGCGTTAGTGGTTTAGGGGTGGAAGCACAATTATCATGTTTTTTTTCTGATTTTATATCTAATGGTTTAGCTTTTAGAGGCGGGCGGACGCTAATCGTGAACAAAAGTAGCTAAAGTTTATTATTTCGTAAATAGAGCCCTACATCGAAAAGTAGTCTTAGCAACCCCGAAGTCGTTTTAAAGGACTTACTCAACGATACCACACGCTATGGGGTACAGGGCGAAAAAAAAAATCCCCCCACGTTACATGTACCCATAAAAATATTATTCCACCCTTTGTCGGCGTGATTGATATAAATATTTCTACAAATGAGTTTCACGAACTGCCGAAACTGAAAAACTGAGTTTATCTGATTTGTTTCCTATTCCGAACCCCTGCGAATTGCATGTTTATAGTACCTAGGTACCTTGTTTTACGTTTACTTTAAGTGACTTAAAAAACAAACATAACAACATTTTTTCGGTCGAAATCGGAGCTAGCCAGACATTTGGTCAATTAACGGTACTTACCGGGTTTTTTACAACTATAGATTTGACTCATTGTCATTTGCCATAGTGATTGTTGCCGTTATAAGCTGCCACAAACTAAAAATATAACGTTACTTACGGCAGGGTGTGGATAACAAACTTACAAATTTTTTTACGACTTAAAATGAATATTGGATAAATAAAAGAACCAGCCAAGTGCGAGTCGGGCTCTCGCTCACCGCGGGTTCCGTACAAACTCAATTTAATACCTCTACGCGTTCATGAGAAAAGAGGTAGTAACTTTAAAATTTTCAAAAATATTTTTAGTATATGATGTTACTAAAAATTTACGGTTTTCGCAATTTTTCCTTTATCTGTACTATAAGGCTGGAAACAGTGCTCGACCAACGGTACGTACTGATCGTCAGCGCTGACCGTCGGTTGCGAAAATGCATTCAGTGCTACGCTGACGGCGAACGGCGACGCGTGTGTACCAGGGCTTGAAACCTGTTTCAAAAATACCGTTAAATAAAGGTTAATACAGGTTCTTAGTAAAGGTTTCATTCGGAGCGCGTCCGAAATGAAAGCGGTACCTAAAACCTTAATAAACCGGTTCAATCCAGAGCGACACGTGCACGCGTCGGCATCGCTTGAAGTTTGTTTTGTTTGAACTAATCAAGTCACAACTTGTTAATACTCAGAGAACGATGCATTTATTGACACGTTTGGGGGCGTCCATAAATTATGTGAGGTCTTTTTTGAATTTTCTGCCGCTCCCTCCCCAGCTGGTGAGATGTCGTGAGATTTTATTCAACCCTCTCCCCCATCCCCCAATCTCACGTGAGATTTTTCAAAATGTGGGTTTACGTAAACGCGTTGGATTGTTCTTGTAAAAAGAAAAAAAAATTGCTTCGTGCTTTTATTTTAATGGTATTACGATTACGCTGAAGATTAAATTTTTAGCATGTACAATCTGGATTAAATGGACCAAAATAGTATATTTTTATTGCGTGATATTTGCCGAGACCCCCCCCCCCCCCCCTTCTCCAACGTAAGATTAGATGAGATTTGACTCGACCCCCTCCCCCCCCCCTTAAACATCTCACGTAATTTATGGACGCCCCCTTTGCTAGCGTCTAGTGACTCAAGTTATTCATTTTGTAGTTGTGTATTTAATTCAGCCGTCAGTAAGAGCGAAATGAAAACCGTTAAAAACCGCTAAATTGATTGAAAACCTATTTGATTTCGTTTTTAAGAAAAACCGGTTTTTTTTTAAGGTTAAGGTAGAGCCAAACCTAAATAAAACGCTCCTAATGTACTTGACACTGATTTAGATTTGAAAATTAACCGGTAAACAAGCCCTGGTGTGTACAGTTCACGAGAAAAATGAACCCTTTTGCTGTAATATATGCACGCTATTTTTTGCGCAATCACTTCTTTACAAAGTTCTTGCCAAGGACTTATTTTAGCATCACGGGTCTTTATAAAATACATATACGATAAATTCCATATTGCCGGACGAAGCCGCACTTCAATAATAAGGCGCTCTCTATCAATATTCATTTTTGCTTTGAGTGTACGTACGCGCGTTTGGTCGGTCGCTCCTTCAGTGAAGCATGCTGAAGCTGAACGCATCTTACGCATCCATACCACGGTAATATTATCTATATCTATACAGTATTCTATCTTCATACAAATGGTCGGAAAGCGAGTCACTCGAGTTCGCGCGACACTCGAGTTCGAGGGGCTCTCGGTGTGCACCCAGTCGCGAATGCGCCGCCGCGCCCGCGACGACGACCGAACGGTGTGAATTGTTCTTTATGCAGCTAGCCGTGCTTAAACGTGCGTTTTGTATTGTAAATATTTGATTGAATTAAGTAGATACCTACATAATTTAGTATGGTACTCTTCAATAACACACCCAGAGATATCATTTTTTAAATTACCTGAAATATTGGAAAGGTAAGACTATAGAATATTTTTTACTAGTGGCCCGCCCTCGCTTCGCTTCGGTGTAGAGCTGCAGTGTAGATTATATTTTTGTTCTCAGGTTTCTATTAAACACAATGACTTTCTTTAAATACCTAATTACTAAAGACACGCGCCGCCGCCGGCCCCCCGGCCAGTACTGCCCGAACCGGTATGTTCCTGCATTTTAAATCTGTAATATCTTCGAAAATATTCATTTAAATTACATGCTGTAGAGGGTTATATTGATCTATATTAAACGCACAATGTATTTAAGGTACTTAATTGGATAAGGATTAATGCTGTATTGCTTAAAATCGCTTGTTCGTAAATAAGCCATTATTTTCTCGTAATAAGTAATTAAATCAGAAATCAATATATCTTTATTCAAATTGGATGTATAGTACAACACTTTTGAATCGTCCAAACATTTTTTTCCCTACCACTCGTTATTGGACATATTTTTTAGCTGCGGAGAAAAACGAGCGAAAAAAACTCCACAACATTAAAAGCATAATGTAACAACATTTACAAATCATTATGTTGTTACAACGTCAATACAATCATGATTTATTTAATATAGAACACCTGTTGGAATGATTGGAACAGTTCAAACCCAAGCATTTTTGTCTGTAATATAATCAGACACTTTGTAATAAGCTTTTTTAATAAGTGCTTTTTTTATACTATCTTTGAATTTATTTATGCTTAACTCTTGGATATTGCTTGGGACTTTATTGTATAAGCGAACACAAAGACCTTTAAATGAATTATTGATTTTGTGAAGCCTAGTAGCAGGTAAAGTTAGTTTATTTTTGTTTCTTGTATTAAGTGTGTGAACATCACTGTTTTTAAGAAACAAATTAATATTTTTTCTTACAAGTAATAAAATTTCGTAAATGTATTGTGATGCGACCGTCATTATACCAAAT